AGTGTTAGGGAACTCATTAACAAATTCAAAAAGACTGGAAGTGTTGTGGACCAACTGAGAAGTGGACGTCCACAAACATCCACTGACGAAGGCACAACCAACGTGGTGCTGGAAAAGCATAGTCCCCTGTGTATGGAGGCTGTTGGGACACCCTGTAGATGGAAGGTGTCTCTAGTCAGCGCTTTGTAACAGTCAGTGGTAAGACTCTAACTTTAAGTTTTCTGTCATTGGAAAATTTTCAAGACAGAGGAGTTTGTGGTTTCGGTATTCTGAGACAGAGTAAATTCAGACTAACTTCGAGAGAGTAAAAAAAAAAAAGAAGAGACTGGTAAGGGAACAACTGTTTAATGCTCTTATAATGTAAATTAGTGTAATGTTCCACAGCATTAATCATGACTGGAAACTAATAAAATGTTTGATAAATGAATGAATGTAATAATTGAAAAAATGATGTGGTATAAGAGTAAAACATGTTGCGGCGTGCTGTTAAAGGAAAATAATCAACAAAATAAGCTTAGCTCTCACCGGATCACCAGCATCATTTTCCTGTAACAGAAGGCATATTGGGTTTTATTCCTTACTTAAATATTTAATGATTTGTAAGTTGTTTAACAATTTGCTTACTGCACAAATTTTTTCTATTAAGTGGAGACATTATAACTGTAACTTCCCTGTCTGTAATCATGTGAGTTCATAATATTTTATACTCAGTTCATGCTCAGCACTGATTGTCTGATTATCCTTTATAATACCCTCAAAGAACATTTGCTGAATTTGAACATTTATTAAGATCCAAAATTCCAATGTGTCTAGTGAATGTGTATGGAGTGTGTCAGTGAGTTACAGCTTTTCCTTGAAAATGAAGTGGGATAAGGCTTCATAATTTACCTGAGTAAGAACAGAATGCTGGGGGAAAAAAATCAGTGTAATATAATAAATGTATATAGATATAAAATGTTTTTTTTTCTGCAGAGGACGATCATGGACAATCATTTCAATTATGCAATAATCTGCAGCTGCTTTAGAACAGCATGTGTAGGGAAGAAAGCACCATTATCGTTAACCTTACAATAACCCAGAGTGTCCCAGTGGAACCCGCACCAGCTGTAATTAGAGGATGCTCTGTTCAGTTCACTTTCAGGTTTAATGAGGGTCAACATTTATTATTAATGTGGCATCCCACTTGGAGTTTAGATGCTAAAACTGTCCATTTAATACAATACAAAGCTGCTGAACATGCAGCACCTGTGTAACATCACTCCTAAGCAATAATATATGTCCTAATGACAGAGCTTGCAATAAAACGAGAAAGAGAGAGCATCAAAGGTCTCTGTAGAGACCATCAAGCACTACATTTGTTTTTCAGGGAACGTTAGACTCAGTCCTGCATTCTGAGACACACAGCTCCTTCTGGAGCCCCTGCACCAATTAATACACGCATGATACACACTGACTCACTGGGTTTATGATTTCTTTTTTGCCGTTTCAGTGCTAATTTAAGTTTTAATGTTTCAGGGTTTAAGGATTAGACATGCTACATTAAGGTAGTAGAGTTACTATGAGAGCATGTAGAGAATTAATATATGAATGTGGTAATGCTCAGACTTTTTTGAATATGGAAAGTGTATTACAGTAGAGCCAGATCAGCTAACTCACTAGCTAGCAGCATAAGGTAACAAAGCTATGGGTGGAGCAAATTGCTATTGAAAGCAATATTGGCAATATTAAAGGCAAAATTAAAATAAAAGCAATAGTAACATCTAGCTAATATTGGCACAACATGCACAAATTACGGCTTAACAATGAGGAGACAACTGTTACACTTAATTTCCTTTTCATAGCTTTATACAAGGTGGAATATTTACTCAGTTGCTGATTGTAGTCAGTCTTAAAAAGCCGAAAAAAGCAGGCTATGTCGATTAATGATGGGAGGAACGTGACTGGAAGCAAGCTCGAATCTGCTTATCACATAGCAGTAGTGTGGAGATAAAAAAATGACCAGGAACGAGTTCTAGACTGACAGGTACAAATCACACCACTAATGTCTCATTTACATATCATGTGTAAACAGCATACCCCAATTTATTGTTATATACATATAATTTACATGAAACACACCCTAATTTATGCAGGTGTTGAGGCAGTTGACCAATAAAAGGAAAGCTTTTAGGTTGTCTAAGAGCCGAGGAAAGAAGTAAACAAAGATGTTTCAGTAAAGCAAAGTATTTATTTATTTATTTATTTAAATCAAAGAGTCATACATACAGAAAGCCATAGAGTCATAGAGACAGACATGGAGGCAGACTGCTCTATCTGTATTTCCTGTGTTGTTTTACTGATTTGATTGTGTTCAGTGAGATAGAGATACAGAGAGAGAGAGAGAGAGAGACAGAGTGTATGTGTGTGCGCGTGTGCGTGCAGGTATTACTGCAGGTGTTGCCACCGTCCCATGGGTTTCCATAACTGAGAAAGCTCAGTAGGAGTAAATATTGGAGTGTAATTATCACTGCATTACTCCAGGTCCTCACACCAGGGAAAATATCTCCAGCGATGTGGGAAGTTCCGCAACAGGGAGTTCTGAACTGAAAGGCAAGATTTCACGCCTAGATAGGTTTCCCCAATTCAGTTCATTTTTATCTTCAGCCGCACGTTTAACAACTGTCATTGTCACGAAGCAGCTTTACAGAAATGTGGATATTGTACTAGGTCCCTAAGATCAACCTTTCTTAGGAGATCACTGTGCGACGGTTGAAAGACTCACAATTTTTAACAGTTCTAGTGGTTTGTGTGTAGTTATGTATTATTGCTGGTTGCGATAGATGTCTTCTGTTTTCTTCATGGCCTTCTACTTGCTACTTTGCTTCTCAGTCCCTTGGTCATTATTTTTACATGATTCTTGTTGTTAGTCTTGCTGTTCTCATTAGTGCCTGTTACTCAGTGTACCCAAACCTCTCAGAGTATATGTTGTTGAAGTCCTTTGCTTTGTTTATTCAGAATTTTCAAGCTATTTTTCAATTCCATTCACAATTTTATGCTAACAGTAGGCATAGTCACAAAGCAGTTTTACAGAAATTTGGATATAGATTTAGATCCTTAATGAACAAGCCAGTGGTGACTGGTGAGGAATGACTTACCGAGGTGACATGAGCCAGAAACCTTGACTCAAAAGAGAACCCATCCTCTTCTGGGTGATGCTGGATAGATCATAAATCCTATAAATCAATATACAAGTATTAAAGAGTAAAGACAAACAGTACTAAGCTCATTGAAAGGATGTCTCAACCTCCCATATTTCACAGGGATATCGTACTTTTTTTTTCTTCTACAGAATCTTCGAACAATCAATGCATCCTACGCACTTTAGGTTAAGAGGCGAAAATATCTGTAAAGTACATGTAAAATGCTAGTAATACACCTGATACCTGATATACTGCAAGTTCTACTTTCTATCTTTCACCGTCTGTATAAAATCATATCAACACTAAGGCAGGTTTGGAGCCTGGCAGTGTTTTTATTATACTGTAGTTTGTTTGATGGATGTTTTTTTTCCCCCATTCATACATTGACATTAGTGTTTTTATTTATTTATTTGTTTTTTAAAAAAAGGGTGTTTAAATTACCAACCATCTTCATAGGTTAGTATTCAGACAGAACAAATCAAAGTTTTATTGGACAAGACTGTATCAGACTTGCCAACCTGTAAGGACTGTTTGCAGGAGCTCGAATGTATTCCAAAATACATGAAAAGACTGACTTTATTCATAATTTAAATGGCAGATGAGCCAATTCACATTTGTGCAGGTGTTTTGAACTCACTGATATTAACTAACTGGAAGCCCACCCCTCCCCTTTTTCACACTAGTAATGTTTTGCCCCGTGCTCATGGTACTTGAAAGATGCATTGACGCGGTGGAAGGTAATGTAAGGTAAATGGAGGTTTTTTTTGTTGTTTTTTTTTGAGTTGCTCGTAAATGGTTCTCAACGTTCGCAAAAAACTGGGAAGTGGGCCTCACGGGGGAAGAAAGTTTGAATACTTCTGGACTAAGCAATAATTACTGAGTCTTACATTTCCCCTGGAGAACTACTTGCTAATTATGTCACATTTATAATAAATACTAATTACTCAACACTAACTCCTTAACTGCTGAGTCTTATATTCTTAGAAAGTAAGCATTTTCAAATTCCAGAACTTTTCATGACATCCTGTACCAAAATACAATAAAATCCACGACAGAAGATTAAGTACTTCAGTACTGAATACCCACAGCAAAATGATATGAACCTAATATGACCCACTTTAAATTCTTTAAACCCAATTTAAACATTACTTACTGTTTCATATCTAATATTGGCCTCAATATATCAATTGGTGGCCATGCCTTATTAAAATTAACCACCATGTCACCTCAGAGGCTCCCTAGTTTCCAGCTCAGGATCCGTAGCCTTTAAAAAAAATTAAATAAAATAACTATAGTAGATTTAGGTGTAGGTGTGTGTGCTAAATGAATATTTATATCAATATTTATATCAGTAGAAGGTCCTTACAAGTATAGTAAGACAAGTGTGTGTGTGTGTGTGTGTGTGTGTGTGTGTGTGTGTGTGTGTGTGTTTGAATGAGTGACACTGTCAGGTGCTTCATCTGCAGACAGAATAACATGAAACAGTATTTTTAAGTGTTCTTGCTACCAGAAAAAGGTAATTTTACAATTTTAGATTTTTTTTCTTTGCTGACAGGATGGATTTTGCTCATAAATGTGTACCAGGGTTGAAAATAACAAAATGTGATTAAATAGCATCCTTTTTTTAACGGCACGAATACTTACTACTACTACTACTCTCTTTCGGCTGCTCCCGTTAGGGGTTGCCACAGCGGATCATTGGTCCGCATATTTGATTTGGCACAGTTTTTACGCCGGATGTTTTTACGCCCCAATTTTATCCGGGCTTGGGACCGGCACTGGGAGCGCACTGTTGCGCACAACCCCAGTGGCTGGGGTTGGATCCCTGACTGGGAATCAAACCCAGGCCACAGCGCTCTTACCGCTCTTAACCACTAGTCCACCAGGGACCCCTGGTGGCATGAATACTTACAATGTGTTATTTTAAATGACTAATTTACTTTCAGACTATAATTTGTACATTCTAGATAACCTTGTTTGGCAATATCACAATATCAAAAAAGAGGAAAAGTCAGATAATGTACTGTTATTCTTCACATGATATTCAGGAAATTTGGATGAGTCAGCTTATTGTGTGCAATAATTTCATAGGGGTGAATGTTTTCAAGTACTGTAACATGGTTGAGTGAAAGCTGTGGAATATTACTTAGGTAAAGTGTAGTTATAATGGACTGGTACAGGCAAACATGCTGATTTTTAAGTACTGAAGAGGTTTTATTAATGTTTGAAATTATTTATCTGAAACACTTTACACTTTAAGTTTTTGTTTTTTTAACCATACATACATATTTAAATGTAATATCAGCGGGACATTAATGGCACCGCAGTCATCAATCAATCACTCAGGTAAAGATTGTCATATGCAGGAGTACTGCAAAACTGCTGTCTGTTTCACACAAGTATATGGGGGCTGTTGGAAGAAACGCTTTTTAGCGCTGAAAGGAAATAACATTTTGAAAAGGGTCATTAGCCAGCAGGCCAAGCAAATTGAAAGCTGAAGTATTACAGTGTCATAAATAAATGCTTTTATTTTTTACATGCATTAGAAAAGCAGTGTGCTGGCATTATCGATGTCACCTGGTCATTACTCTTAATCCTACCATCTGCTCAGCAATGCAAACACAATCTCAAGATACCAGAAATCCAATACCCGCCATCGCCAACACGCCTCACCACCGCTGTCGAAACGTAATTTGATTTATTAAGATTATCCTGCTAGGTTGGAAAATGGCACAAAAAGCCCTATGTAACCTTTTCAATCTTGGATAATGAAGGTAAAGAAAAGAGAGCAGCTGAAAAAGCTACCACAGATCACATGCGCGGTAATGAAATGATTAATACCGCAGAGAGAATAATGACATACAGCTGAACAGCTAAAATGTTATGTGACTCAAATCAAAGCATTGATGATAATATGTGACTTTTATCACTGTCTTGGGCTTTACTAAGGGCATAACTACAGATGAGCTAAAGGAATAACATTTGCATATTGCTAAAAATATGCTAAGTTAGATTGATAGTTACTGATAATTTACCATATTGTCATAATTTCTTGTTTTGTTACTATAAACACAATACAGTTAATTTCACAATCCTGTTTTCAGGATATTACAAAGGATGTACTATCATATGTACTTGGTAGCATTGTTTGGTTATGTTATGAATATGACAAAGACAAGAGAATAGCTACTAATTATTTAACATGTACATTTTTCATGGTACTACAAAGGACGTACTTGTATGTATACGTAGTAATATTGTTTGTGTCTGATTATGGTATGAATACCACATAAAGGAGAGAATAGTTACTGGTTAATTACCATGCAAAAAAGTACACTTTATTTTACAATCTTATGAGTGCGCTATTGCAGAGTACTTGTAAACATCTCAATAATGTGAAACTCTGCTAAGAGAATAAGAAGTTTAAAATTTGGTAAAGAAAGATACCTGTACTTACCTATGCTTAGCTAGTTTTGTCATGCTTATTACTATGAGATTAATTCTTAGCACCGAGTACTGCCATATACCTTTTTTTTTTTCATATTAGTTACTATGTGCTTACATTTCAACTTGCAGAGTATGCGTCAACTATTATTGGTAAGTACTACATTGTTACCTGTTAATTTCTAGTTAATTACTGGCTTACGGCACCAAATACTTCTATAGTTCTATAGAAACCTATAGTTCTCACATAAGGTACTATTGATTAGTACTTACTTCTTACATACTCATAACTTATCACAAATGTCTCTATTTGATACCAACTACTTACCACATTCTTACTTATTTCATAGCTATGACAAAAAAAAAAAAGTGCTACCAAAGTAAGACGTCATTTGGAGCTGTTTTTTATGAACTTCAGCAGTGCAGGGCCCAGTTTCCAGCAAAGGGCTAATGGTAGACATGCATTGTGAGCAGAAGGTCAAGAATCCAATTTGTTGTTTAATAATAAAAATGTGGCTGCTGAAATCACCAGCTTTTCTACATGTCCATCTCCCCCCCTGAGCCTGTATTGATTTCTCCACTGTGATTTTGCTGAAATGTAAGCATATGGAGTAATACTTCAGCAAAAAAGTTGGACTCGCACAGCAGTCTGAGAGGCTTAGTGTAAAAATAAGGATCCTGTAGGGAGTAATTGGCTGCTCGATGAATTGTATTGTATTGGCAAAGCTTGTGCTTAGGAAGGCTTTGTGCCATAATGTGCACAGCTCAAGGGCAGGGCTTTATTGGTTTTGTGTTTGCCTCAGCACTCGGTCATTTCCTCTCGTTTCACCGGAACACTACCAGCTGCTACTAATTAATGCGCCACAAGAAGTTATTAATCATCTAGTCAATAGTACAGAAATAGGTCTAATCAAAACATCTTGCCAGTGAAAACAAATCAAAGAGCTGTAAGCTTTCATTTTGCCAGTTTTATCCAAATATAAAACTATATAAAACACACAAATGATTTTTTTTTAATTGTTAATTAGACTACTTAGAACCATATTTTGTCTGGATTGTTTGGTTCACAGTTTAAAGTTGCTGTTTGTAATGAGTTTGTGTTGTGTGTTGTGAGTTTTGTCTCTTTTCTACTCCTGGAGTTCCCACAGAAGGTACGTCTGGAGCAGATGTTGGGGATGCTTACCAGTCCAAGGCCTCAAAGTTGAATTTTTTTCCCAGTGGAAAAGAAGGTTGTCTCTGTAAGGTTTTGATTCTCATGGATGAAAGCACCAGGAAAGGAACAAGAGAGCCGGAAGGACTGAAAAAAAAACAAAAAAGCAGTTTTCAGATGGCTTCAGAGATGTTCTAACGACAAGAAACAACAAACATTAGTTACGTCCTCAGTGTTTAGCTGTATGGTTTCGGTAATTGGTGCTAATTGTTTATGGACAGTAAGTGCTAACTGAATTTATGGCTTTGAATCAGTCTGCTGAGCAAAAGTCATGCCATTATGCATTTCATTAGCAGTCAGTTACAGCTGCTGTCATGGTGGAACAGACAGGAGGAAATACAAAATGGCAGCTCAATCCGGACAGAGCAGATCAAAGCAGAATGTAAACACAGACATTAGAGCCTGGAAAGCGCTGAAAATGACTGCAATTCAGGACAGAAAAGTAAGCATGTGAGCATAGTAATTATGAATATGACATTTTTGAAATTATGGGTAATCATATGAATGCAGATAGTATTTAGAAAGTACAGCGAGAAATGAGTGCAGAAGAGGAGACATGGCCAGAATAAATACCAGTAAATATAAAAGAGAGCCCATAATTTTCAGGCATCAGATGTGCAGGAAAATAAAATAAAATAAAATAAAATAAAATAAAAAAGAACAAAAAAGAGTAAAAAAAATAAAAGGGGCCCTGATCCCATAGTTAAAATTTAGCTGGTTAAAAATCTAGAATTTTCAAGCAAATGCTGGTAATTTCTCATTTTGAGTATGTATGATTTTTTTTTTTAATATATTGTAAATACTGTATGTTAGTTTATCTGTATGCACACAGAATAATGATGAGATGAATTTGAGTGTGTGGGAAGTAATTAGCATTACAGTATGGGACTTTAATGAACTTTCTTCATTAATGTTGTGCTGGTAGTGATTTTGCAGGCTTTTTTGTGCTTCTTGCCCAGAATAAACAGGGTATACAGTTTTGTTCCTGCTTTTACTAATGAATGTAAAAGTGACAGAGAAAGAGTAGTGTCTGTGTGAAGGGCATTAGCTTCATTTTGAATTCTGACTCATTAGCTAAATGCACTAAATATTTAGGGCTGTAGGACTTGTATCCATTTTTGAACTCGAGTCCAGTCGTTTTTCTGTATTGATTTGGACTTGTCTCAGAATACTGGCATTTGTACGTGGACTTGCCTCTGTCTTGGCCATTGGTCACGCTAATTATGGACTTGATCTAGACTGAGAGTCTGTAAAAGTAATGTTCATGTTGTCTTTTCTTTTCACATGCACAAAGTTTGACAAGAAGTATGTTCTTGGTGCAATGCACAAATGAAGCCAACAAGTAAAATTATTTTTTGGCCTCAAATTTGACTCGGCCTCAACCCTGTTAGAACTCGGTCTTGACTTGAACTTGACTAGTCCTGGTCTTGGACTTATCTTAGACTTGACAATGTCAGTGTTGACTACAGCATTACCAAGTTTATGACAAATTAGTGAGTTTAACAGAATAGTATTGACAGTGTTTTCTATCTAGCAAAATACCTGCTTTGTGATCCATTGACATGTTCTTTTTTTGTTATTCTTTTGTTCTTTTGTTATTCCGTGTTCAGTATTTTTAGTTGTCACCCTTGCTGGTTTTCCCTCTATTTGCCAGTGCTGTGCCTAGCCACCAGGCATATTGCTGTGCTATCAGACTTCAGACAGACTCCACATGTGAGGAATGTTAACGTTTCTTTTATTAATGAAAGGAAAGACAGTACCACTGGAGCAACAGGTTCATCATGTTTACTGGACCGAGATAAATTGTTTCAGATTCTCAGTGCGGCTTTCCCTCAGGGAGGAGTTGGGCCTGCAGGTAAAAAGAAAGAGATTGAAATGAATGTCATGAGTGTGTAAAGAAAGCTCCTGGTTCATGTTACTGAAGCTGCTGCTCCTACACATATTTTTTTAATGTTGTGTCTCTTGCTTAAGTACCACTTTACCTAGAGCACCACTGTGACAGGAGCAGCACCACAGCCAGCAAGTGCATTAGCACCTCGTACAGTACCTACATTAACAAGTGCAAATGTTCCCGAGGTGGGTTCAGACCCAATTGCCTGCGGCTGGTTGGTAATAATTGCATTCAATCTCCCCAGCTGGCATTTCACATAAGTAAATGTAAAAGATCTACATGCAAATGAGGGAAGATATGCTGAATGAATCATTGTGCATTTGTACCACACATTATCACAGCCC